AGCACTACAGAAGACTGAAGTTGAAAGTCTGAAGACGTGGAAAAACGCGCAGCCTACACCACTATCCGAACACACTGTCAGAGAGCTTATCACGGCCGAGACCAGAGCAACAGCCAAGAACCTAAACGACAAAATCAAGGATGTGAACACCCGGCTTTCCGAACGCATCACCAACCACCAGGACTCGATTCTCGCCTTGCAGGCTTTCAAAGAGACCGTTGAGAGTAAGAACTTCTCTGATCAACTCAACGCTTTGAGCGACAAGATCAAAGAAGTTGAGGGAAACGGCGACAAGACGTACGCAAAAGCCAACCGTCTGCAGAAGAGAATCGAGGACATAGAAGACGAACTCCACCCAGACAGTATCGACAGTTTGAAGGAAGTGGTAGAGAAGGTAGAGAAGCTCAGAAGCAGAGTGGATAAATACCGTGATGCGCTCGGCGATGACAGAGAGGAAGTGAAGAATGTGCGAGAGAGCCTGAAGGACCTCCGGGAAGAATCAAGGGGCCTGAAGGAAAAGACAAAGAGTACACAAAAGGATCTGAGCAGCCTCCAAGGAGATTTCGACGAGCTTGAGAAAGACATCGTGGAGTACATTGGACCTATCAAGGGGGACTACGATAAGACAAACTTCACCCTGTCGCAAAGGATTGCGAACCTGCAGGGCACTGTAACCCAAGCTGAGTTGGGAAGGCTCCCTACTCGCCTCAATGAGCTGGAAAAAACTGCACGTCTTACAGAGAAGCTTCCGGGTCGCATCGATGAACTAGAAAAGGCTGCACGAGGCCCTCACTTTAAGAAAGTCGGGACAACTGTTGCGCCTTCTTCTCCTGCTCCAATCACTCCACCGGTGACCAATGCAGACACAGAGGTCTCGAATCTCAAGAAATCGCTGCAAGAGCTTCGCAAAGTTGTGGAAGGCACCGGAGGCTTGACGACCCAGGCTCAGACAATCTTCGAGCGACTGAACAACATGGAAGCCACTCTGGCCAGCGCTCGACCGCTCGACAGTGTGGAGCAGAGTGTGGAGACAATGGAGACGACCATGGACAAGACCTCAGTCAAGACGCTGGAAAAGGCGGCGGAAAAGAAGGCCAAAGCTCTGATAACGAGCGAGCGCAAGGCTATCGACAGGAATGTCGAAGAAGTGAACACCCGCCTCTCTAAAGAGATCTTGGATCTCCGCAAACTGACGGAAACTCGTATGCAAGCGATGCAAGCTCTCCGCAATCGATCGCGTGAACCCGATTTCGCGGCGTCGTCAGCTGATGCGAGAACAGCGCCATCCGAGATGAGCGATCTCAATACCATCACAGAGGATATTGAAACGCTATTCAAGGAACTCGAGACTGCAAATGCCACTATCTCGGCTGTACAGGATGTCGCCCCCACCCTCTTCAACGAACAATTCGACCCACTCAAGCGCAAGGTTGAAGAGCAGCTCAGTACCGTCACTGCTACAATGGAAACCCATGCCCGCAATCTATCAGCTTTGATGGAACAAGTATCGAAGTCGCCTACACAACAGAATGGCTTCGGCCAAGCTCAACAAGCTCAGCTCAATACCATGTCGACAGAAGTAGCGTCGTTGAAGACGGGTTTGGAAACTCTGCGATCGTCTCTGTCGACCAAGGCCGACTCTGCATCGGTGGACAGAGAGTTGGATAGTTTCACCTCCGCAATACGCAACATGGAGAGCCGATACGAAAATATCAGCACCGACACCTTGTATCAGGGCATGGTCCGCTGGTTTACCCACATGTACCCCAGTCTGCCACAACTCCAGGACGACATCAACCGAGTGCAGAACTGGATAGCGGGTCGCGCGAACCTTCTCGACCGCCTGGACCAGGACGCTACTCAACTGCATAGTCTTGTGAACATCGCTCCGCACTTGCACGAAATTGCCAACATGAGTCCGCAGTTGAAACAAGTGGTCACCGATGCTGCGCAACTCCAGTCGGCCATCCAGGCTCATGGCGAGATGTCGAGTGCGTTGGCCAAGATTGATCAAGCTAGCTCTGACGCCAGCCTGGCAATCTCCAAGGCTGAGGAGGCCATACTTGCAGCTAGCAAGGCCGAGCAGGCTAGCTCTGATGCAAGAACCGCGAACGACAAGGCTGAGGAGGCTATGCGTGCAGCTAGCAAAGCCGATCAAGCCAGTTCTGACGCAAAAGCCGCGAGCGACAAGGCCGAGCAAGCCAGTTCTGATGCAAGGGCTGCGAGCGACAAGGCTGAGAAGGCCATGCGTGCAGCTAGCAAAGCCGAGCAAGCTAGCTCTGACTCAAAAGCCGCGAGCGACAAGGCCGAGCAAGCCAGATCTGATGCAAAATCCACGAGCGAAAAGGCTGAGCAAGCCAGATCTAACGCAAAATCCGTGAGTGACAAGGCCGACCAGACTGAGCAACAGCTCAATGAGCAAATCAAGACGATCGAAAACATCAAGGGCTCAGTGTTTGGATTACAAAATTCTTTGCGGAATCTGAACGCGGCCACATCTCCCTTTGCCAAAACGGAGGCCCTTGGCGCCTTGCAGGCAACTGTCAACACACTGCAGACGCAAATTGGTCAAGAAAAGCAAGAACGCTTGACCAGCACAGGCGAGCTTCGCACTACCATCGACGCCGAACGTACCACACGCGTTGACGAGCAGGCTAAGATCAGAAAGTCTATCCAAGACCTGAGGCAGGCGATCGATGTGGACAAGATCAAGAGGTCTATTCTAGACCTGAGGCGAGCACTGGATGGAGACAGGGCCACTTTCGCAAAAGCTGACGTAGTTGCTGCATTGGAGGGTACACTGCGAGCCTTCCAATCCGAGATCAGCGACACTCAAACGGCAAACTCCGAGGCCATTCAAAATTTGCGTTCAGCATTCGACACAGATTGCAGCAAGCGCGATACCACGGAAGGCAATCTCCAAAAGTCCATCAACAATCTGGCTCTGGCGCCTGCCCAGACATCTACTTCCGACACTACCACCTTCGACAACTTCAAACGTGTCATGGTCGGCAAGTTTGCCTCAGAGGAGAAAGCACGCACAGAATTCGAGGAGAACATGAAATCATCTCTCGGCATGGTCGAAGGAAAGGTCACAGCTCTAAGGCAGGATACAAAGGAGACCAACAACGAGGTGAAACGAGTCTCAAGCGACCACGAAGCCGCGAAGCAAGGAATCTATCAACAGCTCGCCGACATCAACACGGCGGCCGCCGAGTTGCGAGAAGCTTACGACAACACGGTCAAGACGTACATTGAGCCAAACGCCGAGTTCTTCGGCTTGATCGGTACCGCTTTCGTAGTCCTCTCGCAACTTCAGCAAGTCGTCGAGAGCCTCAACCAGAACCTTCCAGTCGCTCCGCTGAAGCTGGAATGGGACTACTATCTCCCCAGCCACGGCCAGCCCTCCACCAACGGCGAACCCAGCAACTCCAAAGGAAAGGGCAAGAGCAAGCAGTAAGCCGCTACCTCTTCGTCCACCCAACGTACACAAAGTTCGACAACATTCTTTTGTCCCCTTGTCACCCCTTTTACTGTGTTACCACCCCCGGCCCGAACAAAAGTGCGCATCGACCTGGCGTTTTTTACCGGCGGATACTGTGAGCATTTCATGCATGATACCCCCCTATAGCCTGTGGCGGCTCTTTCCTAGTGTCTCGATCTTTGCGTATAGCGAGTCTGATGAAGCTGTTTTCAAAACCTTCTCTTTCTTAGCGGTGCCCAAATACTACTGTGTTTATGTATGTAAGTCCCATTCCAGTTGGGCGTTTTCTGTGTAAAATTCCTAGTTATCTAGGCATTTTGTGGATATTGGGGGGTGATGTTAGGTCGTGAACCTGATCGGATGTGTGGAAGGTGTGGATGATGGAGATTATGATGGAGAGAGGTGGCGGTGGATGTGGAAAATTACGGAATCGGCGTTTGTAGTGGTAATGCGAGTGTACGATAAAATGTGGAATGGTTTAGAGACTGTTGTGCCGATGCCACGGTTAAGCTTGTCTGGTCGTATGCTATGATCCCGCCTAAAGACATAACACTTGCTATGTCGTGTTCTGTGTCAGGATGAAGTGTGCAGTATGTCTGATCCAAGTTGTCGAGAAAAGGTGGCCTTCTTATGCTTTATACGTGGTGCTGTGCCCCAAGACCGTCCCTTGTGGCGCTTTCTATCCAATAAACTAACCCCTTTCTCATCCCTCCCAATATTTAATAGGCGGATCCAGTTATCGTGTTGGTCGTGTGTATCGCGGGAGTCGCGAGTGGCTCGTCGTATATGGGTCATCGCGGTACCATGGGATGGGATGGGACCAGATTTCGTCCCACGGACTGACCTGTTTGCGATGCCATATTCTGGTCACTATCCACTTTACCCCACGGTACTGCGATGACGCAGAGCGAGACAAGCCACTCACAACTTCTGCAACATCAATAACCTAGACAAAAAGACGCTCTCACGAATAAGAGAAATAGCAAGTATAATATACTGTCTAACAGACTGACCTCCGACTATAAGTACCAGAGCGTTGATCATTCACTATACATATCCCGCAGTCATCTATATCTCTCTAAAAGCCCTCATTCTACATATCACTCCAGCTTCATCACATACCGCACATTTAAACTATGATATCGTGACATTATCGATTTTGGCTTCATGAATTCATACAATACAGTACGAATGATACTTTTTCCTCATCGATCCCGCACCCTAACCTCCCTTCATATAGTCAACGCCAATACACGCAACAGCCCAGCCCAGCACCCCATTATGTATACAGAATCCCAATCCAGTAACAAGAAGGAAGAAGAAGGGAGAGGAACCAAAAAAAGTCCAGTCCAACCTCATGGGGTATCAGAATTTGCTTTCAAATCAACCAAATGAAAACCACCCGCTAATATAGACAAAGGCAATGATAAAACGCCAACAAGGAAGGGGTGTATATCGCCAATCCACCTTTTTCCAACAAAACTCCCATATCCCAAATACTCCCCCTCTTCATCTCCTACTCAGGCCTCTCAAGATTAACCCTCAACCCATACTTCAGCCCCTCAATCTCGCAATACTCAGCCAGAAACCTCAAACCAAATCGTACAGCTTGGATGGGCGTGGTATCGGCGCCCAACGGCAAAAAGTACGGTCCTGACATCTTCGCGCCGCTGAGCTTCTCCGGTTCGCGGGCTAGTCTCGCATTGGATTCCCTTGCCGCATACGTTTTCTTATATAACGATTGGAGATCCTCAATCGGCAGCGCAATACGCGCGTCTTGGTAGTGGCGATGCATTTTAATCGTGTGATCAGACAGGAGGGCGAAGTTTTCCGCGAGCGAGTTGTGCTGGCGGGACGCTTCAGCCGTATTACCACCACTATGACCCGTACCATCTTGCGGCGAGTCGTGCGTTTTAGGGTTGTTGCAGCGCTGGGAGACGTGTGTGCAGATTGCGGCGGCGATTACGGAGCTGAGGTAAGAGCGGAGGCCGTCGAGGTGCTGGAGGTCTTTTGTGCTGCGCGAGTAGGAGAGGCAGAGGGGGAGGAGCGTTTTCCAGGTTTGTTCTACTTCGCCGGGGCGGCCGCGCATGTGGAGGGAGAGGTCTTGGGCGAAGTAGGCGGCCATGTAGGCGCTGGGGGGTGTTAGTGGGGTTCGTAATGTACAGTTGAGGGCTGGGTGTTGAACTTACAGAATACACTCAAGGTTAGTAACTGCGGCCCTCTTCTCATCCTGCTTCGAGATCTTGCCGCTGGTGAGGATCTTGGTGGCCTCATGCTTGAGGGCTCTACCCATTTGATTCCACCTCGCTGACGTATGTCCAAGCAGCGAAATGTCTGCCTGCTTCTTGTTGTTAAGAGGAGCAGATGTAGGTTTCGCGCCGGCTGGGGTTGCACCAGACCGGCCAGGCGTTGCGTCATTGCTCTCGGAAGACTGGGTTCGTAGCATGTTGACTGATTTCAGGTCCTTCTTAGGGGTTGCGTATTGCGTCTGGCTATTTTGGAGAGGGGTAATGGGCCGGTCTTGTGTTGAGCCTGCTCTGGGTCGCTTAGTGGGCGGTACCGCCAATGTCGATTCCTCTTCCGCGCGCGGCCGCTTCTCTGCAACTTTTGATGGCGTTGTAGTCTGTCGTGCAGCGACCTTGGGAATTGCCTTCTTCTTAATGACAGGCGGATCCGTGACCTTGGGCTGCGTGTCTGCCATTTGAGTCGCCTTGGAGGTATCGTTGCGCTCCTTCTTCTCGGCATTCGCTCGTCTCGATGGTAGGCGGAGAATCTGGCCAACGACAGGCGCCTTGGTCTTTGAGAATTTCAGCTTAACTACCATACTAGAATCTGTTTGTTCGACTTGACTGACTGGTTCGGGGTTGGGCTTTTTGCCGTTGCCGTTGATGGAAACTGAGCGCGCTCGGTTCTCTGACTTTGGTGTACCGTTGGACTGTTGAGATCCACTGGGTGGCACAGCAAGCGTTTGACTTTTGCGATCTGAAGATGACACAGATGCGTCGGAATCTGTGCGCTTCCGCTGTACTTCCATTCTGTCGAGCTCGGCTTGTATGTTTGAGGGGAGGGTGGGGGATAAAATGTTCGGGAGGCCGTATGGGTTGCCCATTGGCTCGTGTACTGGCGAAAGCAGCGGAGGTAGGCCGTGTGGTGTTGAATTGGAAGGGTCCGACTTTTCAATCTTGCCCTTGGAACTGGTTGTCTCGCTCTTCGTTGTGGAAGGGGCTCGCGGCCGGTTTGAAGAAGGGGCGCCTCTGTCGGCTTTCCGGATGGGAGGCTCGTCGCGTGTAGTACCAGAGGATCTGCTGCTGTCAGTAATTGAACAAGATAAAGAACGGCGTACCCACGACTTGGGCGACTTGGGCTCGGTCTTTTGGGACGGCGCAGACAGTTTTTCAGACTTGCTGGCCCCATTCGCCTGTTTCTTGTCCGGCGCAGAACTGGGCGAGCTGATCTTGACGCTGGGAGTGTTGGGACCGTTCGCTTGCTTGACCTTGAAAGCTGAGAGGTTGGGTTTCTTCTTCGCTGGCTGGCCATTCGCGGCCTGGGAGCGTGGTGGTTCGGGCTCAGGTTCGTCGTCTTCTCCCGCCTGCAGCTCGAAGCAATCCTGACACGGCTCCCGGTATAGATATGTCCTGTACTGCAGGTGCTCCTCCTCCGACTTGAACAGCCTTCCCAATTTCCAGGCGTTGGCTTGTTGCTGTGAGTAGTACCGGTACGGATGTAAGGATGGCGTGGAAAGTATATATGGTGTGCGCGGGACCGCCGTCTTTATGCGCTTGAAGATGCTGTCGAGGGCGTCGAGCTCGCCTTGGTCGTCGTCGGAGAGCTGCTTGCGCTTGAGGGATCGCGTCGTATCCACGATGGGCTCAGGCTGGTCTGGGCCCGACATGGCGTGTTACCTCAGGGTCTCGGGCGTGCAGTCGGTCGCGTATAGCAGCGGTGTCGCGGGCCGACGGCGGTAGGTGCAGTGGAACGACGTGTGGAGGTGGAGGAGCATTAGGTGAGGCGCTCGAGCGGGGATGGGGTGATGGCAGCGCCGTGGACGCGGTGTGAAGGCGGAATCGAGTCGGGACGCGCGTGGACAATAGCAGGGCGACAATCGCTTTCTCTTCACATGTCGTCAGTACAATAGACCCACGTGAGCGCGCATGTGGATAGCGCGGGCTCTCCTCTCTCACTCACCCAGACTGCGGGCGCTGCTACCTCTGGTCGCTCGGGCGGGAATAGGACATCGCTCGCGCGCCGTATCTATGATAGCGCAGCGACCTGGTACGTGAGGCCAGAAAAACGGCAATCTCGTGTTTGCGACAGCGCTGCGGTCAAGGGCGACATGTCGAGGTGGACATGGCTTGGCGGGAGGCTTCTCCCGCGCGCTTCAGCCCTGGCTGCCGGAGACGCCTGCATCGTCCATTGGCTGCTCTTTGCTCCGAAGGCACCACATCACTGGATTACGCAGATCGTCTTGACTTCAATCTAACTTGGGCAGCGTTCTTCCATCGCATTCATCGCGTGGGAACTCGAGTCTTATTCACTTTCAGGCGTTGATTTGTTTCCACACGGCTGCTCGGGACGTCCCTGTTATTTAGTGGTCCCGAATGATCGGCATGGATGACATCAACGCGATCCGACTCCACGTATCCATGTGTGCATCGCATCACATATATGAGCACCGGGCTGCTGTCGGGACAACCTACAAAGGGTCCAGCCATGTCTTACTTCTCACAGTCATGACAGATTCCACGTTGCGCATTCTGTCACTATTAGTACTATTGAAGTTTGGACTAAGGAGGTTGCAGATCCCGTTTCACACCATCACCCACACCACCGGCAGAAGGAAGCACGTGTCGGCGATAATTCCAAAGTCTGATTTCTGAACCAAATGTTCTTCATGGCATTAATTAGAGTTTCTCGATGCAGGTCGTCTCCCGAAGTTTCGCCAAAAGGAACACGGGAACCACGCGGCGGCTTTTGGGAAGTTTGGTAGAGATGGTTTCACCCAAACTAACGCAGTGAAACACAGTCAGCCTTTGTCCTACAGCTCCTCATCGTCCGTCTCGTCATCTTCGTCGTCGTCCGCTACTGTTGCTGCTGCTGCTGGAGAGGGCTGTTTCTGTGTATTATCACTTCGCGTCATTCTCTTCTGGAAGGGAAGTGTTCGAGGTGGTGGTGCACCCTTGCTTGCCCTGGCTTCACTTTTGGAACTCTGTGCAACAGAACTTGCTCTCAGCGTCTCGGATGACCTGCCTCTGGGGTGTGGTGCAAGTTCATCCTCCTCGTCTGTTTCATTGTCGGACTGCTCTGGGGTCATGGGTTCGGGCATTTCCTCGTCGTCCTGCTCTTCAACCTTGGCCTGATCGATCTCCATCTGGTCGCTGTCTGCATCTGGACTTGCCTCTGGCTCGGGTGCTTGTGCCGGAGCTTTACGTTTCGATGTTCGCGATGCGCCTGGTTTGCGAGTCTTGGTGTCTGCTCGGGTCGACTGTACGGCCGCCGCTAGATATTGTCAATATAAGACTACGTCACGACGACGTCTTACTAACCTGTGGGCTTGTCGACTTTTACGCCAGCTAGCAGACGACTCTGGTCCCGGATCTTGCGCTTCTTCTCGTTTAGCAGTTGCATGAACTGCTGGAGCATGGCCGTCTCGGTGTCATTCTTAGTTTTGATGAAGTCATCCAGTTGCGCATTGAGTTTGGCGAGGGTGTGCTGCTCGCTCTTGACTTGGTCTTTCAAGTTGACCACCTGCTGCAACGTTTTGGCGTGCGCCATGGCTGATGCCTGCGCCCACTCAAACGGGTTGAACTCAAACTCATCGTCTTCTGGAAGGACAATCTCACCCAACGTGACCTACACACATCAGATGAATTTATCTTGGAGAGCACAATGCTGCCCACCTTGATGTTCCCAACGTCCTGGCGAAAAGAAAGCTCTAGGTTCTTGTTTTTTAGAGTATAGACCATGCGAACACCGTCCAAGATGTCGGTCTGGCCGATTTCGGGCTGTTGCTGGAGCAGAAAATGAGACACGACGGCGGCCCACTCGTCGTCGCTGCCCTTGAATTTGTGCTTGAGACTGGCGAGATTGCGGTGCGTGACTGGGGCGCGTCAGATGGCGAAACACAGACGCGCTGTGGATGCTGTCTTACTCGAAGTCACATATGGGGTTTCGCCCTCGCAGCCGACCAATCTGACATCCAGAGGGTGGCTGCCCTGCTGCAGCACTTCGATGACGACGCTCTCGCCGCGGCCATCCGCAGGCTCGACTGGCAAAATATAGCGGCTCGACATTGCTGCGATGGTGTGCACGAGCTAGGCGGGACTGCGGGAGGGAGCCCAGTTGGGAAGGTTTGTGATGGTGTGGCCAGGGAGGCTAGTCGCGATAGTGAGAGCGTCCAGGAACAGGTACCGGGCGTTTCACGTGGTAGGGAATCTATTGAAACCGTAACCTGAACCACGTCTACCTGAGACGGCAGGCACACGAGGTTATATTTGTATGTAGATAGCAATGTCACTCGCGTGGTGGTGGTGCCCTGGTGGGTGGTGCCGTCGCAGGCAGCACCCGCTGGGGTGAAGGTTTAGTGTTTGTTGTGGTTCAGGCATCCGCCCGGGACGCGAATCGAGCGCGATCCGCACCAGTCGCTCTGATGGGGAGCAGAAACAAACATGGGTGCTATACAGGGTGGGTAAGTGGCGTGGTATATACATAGGCAGCGTCTCCGAATAATCTCTGGTTAATGGTTGCATTGTTCCTGCATATGTACGCTCCCGACAGCTGTACTTCTGTCCACATCGCCGTCATCGTCGCCCTTGCTGCAGGGGTGCGAAGTGTGTTATTCTTACCGACACGCGTGGCCTAGCGTGCGGGCCACCTAGCAGACCGGCCTTTGTCTACTTACCGCCTTTGTGCTTCGCGTAGCCCTGCAGGAACCTGCAAGCGGTGCCAGACGACCCTCGCCGGCCCACAGCCCAACCACCTCAGTACCTCGCGCGAAGATCCTGCACACCCACCTTACACCGCACCTGCGATATCCGCGCGACAGCTCCACCGAGCATGGCGGCCAACAACCGCTCCTTCGCGGCGCGCATCGCCTCCATCACCTCGCAGTCGACCCAGATGGAGACATGGGACGACGGCGACTTCGACGACCGCTCCGACGGCCTCCTGTTCAAGAACTCGACCGTCCATTCACTCTCTTCGCGCATGAGCGTCCGCTCCGAGACCGAATCCAATGACGACTGGCAGATTCTGATTACGCCAGGCGACCAAGCAACCAACACCTCCGCCATCAAGACCGCCGCGAAGCAGGCCGGTATCCCCATCCCCACGAGCGTGCCATCGTCGGCGCTCCTCGGCGGCTCAATCAAGAGGCTGGGCAAGAAGAAGTCGACCAAGAAGATCGAGGTCGACGACGACTGGGGCAACGACCTCGAGCTGCCCACCAACGCGAAGGAAGGACTGAAGCTGAAGGCGCCTAAGCCACGCACGCCGGCGGAAGAGGACGATGACTTCGACTGGGGCGAGGGCTCGCTCGGCATCCGCTTCGCAGGCACGCGACAAGGCACCCGCGGTGCACGCAGCTCGTCCGTATCCGCCATGAGCCCCAGCCTGGGCAGCATCATGACCATGGAGAGCGAAGACGACGACCTGGGCGGCCTCGTGCTGCCGACCGAGCCCATGGACTTCAGCGCGCGTCTGGACAAGCTCAAGAAGGCCGAGCAACCACCAGCATCACCAGCACCAGAGCCATCGCTCCTTCCACCACTGCCATTGCGTGAGCAGTCCCTCACGCCGACGCAGCCCACACAAACCACGTCGGTCCCTACCCAGAAGCCGTTCCAATCGCCGCCCCAATCGCCCATCGCTGCACCACTATCTCCTTCCCCCTTCAGCAGCCCCACGCCTGTGAGCCCCAAGGCACTGGCACCATCGCCCAAAGCCAAGCCCGTGGTCCAAGAGGAGGACTTCGAGGATGGTTTCGACTTTGGCAATGGCGAGATCCTGGACCGCCAGAAGCTGACGCTCAACAAGAACATTGTCGTCAAGAAGCCCGCGACCAAGACCACCGCCCCACACGCTGCTCGTCCCGCTACGACCATCACCTTCACCGACAGACCCACTACCTCGCGGATACCCAGGCCCCTGCCCTCCATCGCGAGTCGGTCCAGGCTTACCCCTGTGTACGAGAGCGGCGCGTCCACTTCGAACTCGACTCGGACCATGCCTACCACTACCAGCGCACAGCTGCTCCGCGCGAAGCGCTCTGCTCCCGTCCTCCGCAACAACAACACCAGTCAGCCACCACGCATGCCATTCCTCCCTGCTGGCGGGGCCTCTTCCCAATCGCACCACGTCATGTCCAAGAGCACTTCGCAAGCCCACCTTCGCCGCGACTCTGACCCTCGCCGTCCCCAGTCTCCATCGATGCGCTCCTACTCGCGCCTGTCTGGCGGTGGCCACAACGAGACGCCTAGTCGTGCTGGGGTGAGACGTGATCAGGCTCCCTCTGCCCTTGCACGTCATCCACCCCCAAAGAAGCTGACACAGCCTCAGCGCAAGCGAAACTTTGGCGACGGCCATGAGCTCGACCTGTTCGATGACTTGCCTACTTCCGCTTCCAAAGAGAAGCAATTCGAAAAGGTGCCGCGCAATGTCGCCAGCAACAAGTCGCTGCGCCATCAGCCGAGCAACTCACGTCTGCCGATGCCTGATCGCATGGCCACGCCTCTGCCCCAGACTCCGCGCAGTCCTCCCAAGATGGACCACACTCCTCGCTTTGCTCGCGACACCGCAGCAAGCAGGAACGCACGTGAGCAGCGCTTGGCAGGTACGAGGTCTCGAGCAGAAGGTCCCATTTCCTCCCGGCCCGTTAGCTGGGCTGCCCAAGTGGCC